TCAAGTCGATATGTCATTTCAGTCTTTGTTTACAAGCTATTGAAATTAGACGTGTCATAGTATTTTTTAAAATGGAAAATATTGAACATCGTGCTGTAATAAAATTCTTTGTGAAAAAAGGTTTAAAGCCCATGGAAATTCATAATGAAATGGTAAATGTGTTGGGTGATGATGCTCCTTCAAAAACAACAGTATGCAAATGGGCTGCGGAGTTTCAACGTGGGCGTTCAAGCCTTGAAGATGACCCTCGCTCTGGACGTCCAAAAAGTGCTACTACTGAAGAAACGATTAATGCTGTGCATGACATGGTTATGGATGATAGACGATTGACCAAACGTGAAATTGCTGAGGCTGTGGGCATCTCAGATGAACGGGTATTACACATCTTGCACGATGAATTACGTCTGAGAAAGCTGTTGGCAAGATGGGTGCCGCATTCGCTAACTCTGGATCAGAAACGCACTCGAGTAAAACTTTCTCAAGAACATTTGGCCCGTTTTCAAAAGAATAAAACAGATTTTGTGCGTCGATTCGTAACCATGGATGAGACTTGGGTTTACCACTATGATCCGAAGCTGCGACAACAAACTGCAGAGTGGACAGAACCCGGTTGTTCAGCTCCGAAGCAAGTGAAGGCGTCAAAATCGTCAAAGAAGGTTATGGCATCAGTTTTTTGGGATGCGAAAGGAATTTTATTAATAGATTACCTTCAAACCGGTAAAACGATAACAGGTGAATATTATAAAAATCTTTTGGAGCAGTTGGATAAAAAAATTCGTGAGAAAAGACCTGGTTTGCTGCATAAAAAAATCATTTATCACCAGGACAACGCACCTGCTCATATCAGCGATGTTGCAAAGGCGAAATTGGTCGAATTAAAGTACGAACGCTTGGAACATCCACCCTATTCACCAGATCTGGCTCCGTCCGACTTCCACCTCTTTCCACATCTCAAAAAATTTCTACGTGGAAAGCGTTTCTCATCACATGAAGAAGTCATTGCAGCCGTAAATGGGTATTTTGAAGGCCTTCCGGAATTGCACTTCAGAGATGGGATACATGAATTGGAGAATCGTTGGAAAAAGTGTATTGCTCTTAAGGGAGAATATACTGAAGAATAAAGTCATTTTTTGAATCATAAAATTGTTTTTTCATTTCCGCTCCGCGAACTTTTCAACCAACCTAGTATTACCTTATTAGTGCTTGAACCGAAAGATTCTGAATCAGATTTTGATCGTGCAACTTTTAAAAGTAAATTAAATGTTTCCTTTTGTAGCAATTGTTAAATATAATTATGTTTAATTTTATTTTTTTAAAAAGATATTTATTTCAAATAATATTTATTTCAAACTATATTTGAAAATAAAGATATTTATTTCAAATAATATTTGATTGAAAAATATTTATTTTTATTTTATTTAGTGATTAATTAAGAAAAAAGAATTAAAATAACCTGTTTTATGAGGCAATCTTACTGAAAAAAAACAATAAAGTTGAAATTTACCAATTTTGTATATGATTACAAGTTTGTACTTCGTTTTTGTCTTGTAATAGTATCGCATTTTAACATGCTAAAATATCAAGAAAAGTTATTTTCCGTTATGACCAATCTCTTTTTATTTTCACGCTAACATCAATATTTCCTCAAATTAGACCAACAGGATATAACAGCAGTATACATATCGGATACAAGTTTTTAGCTAATGAAAAATTAATAATAATGTTAATAAATAAAGATTGGAAATAGGAATAAAAATAAAGAAATTATTTCGAAAAGGAAATATTACCAAAAGAAACTACTATCAGAAAGAAGAAAAAGAATTTGCTACCAGAAGGAACAAAAAAAAAAAACCAACAAACTAATATAGCACTCAAGTTATAATTCATATTATATTGATAAATTACAATAGATAAAATTTAAAAATGTTGAGAGAATGTGTATAATAATTATCGTGCAACATAAAACTTAACAACGGGATGACCGGCGAAATGTGTTTGTTTTTGAAGTCTGATGCAGTGACGGATCCAGGAATTTTTGGTGGGTAGTGGTGGTGGTAATGGTGGTGAGGGGGATGTCGAAACATTTTTAAATTTCTTAGATATTTTAAAACTTTCACATTCTGGTGGATGAGGGATTCATCACTGGTCTGATACCCTTTTTTATGAAGCAAAAACTTGTTAGTTTGATTCTGTGTGAGCCCAACTGTGAGAAATAGCAGATATTTTATAAATTTAAAAATTAGCTAAAACATGTTGTTAAAAACAACAATTTCCTAGTTTTTTCAATGAGTTATTTTTATTTATTAATTATTTATACTTATAAAAACTATGCCGTTTTTAATATTAGCTGAGGCAACTCCCGTGCAAATGGATAAAATTATCCAGGAAAGTATTTACATTTAATGGTAATGCTAAAAATGGCGCGTTGTGAGGCTTCCAAAAAATTAAACTGTCTCAGTTTTTCTGATATTTTAAAGTATAATATTTCCAATAAATTTTT